CTGCGGTGTCCACCTTCCACCCTTTGAGGGCTGCCCCGGTACTGCCTTATGGGCATGACCCAGAGGCAGCCCGGTAGGTATGGGCTTGCGCCCCTACATCTTGTTAGGGGAGAGAGTTAAACTTCCCCCCTCCGCGACAAAGCGAGGGGACACAGTCCCGCTTCGCCGCCTTTGGACCAAAGTCCTAGGTCAAACACCCCCTAGAGGGTGGACCCATCCTCTTAAATTGGCCATAGCTCAATGCTATGGTCCTCCCCCCCGTACGCCCCTGGGCTGCCCTTACCAAGCTCTTACTTGAGCTTGGGGGAAGCAGGCCCAGGGCGGGCCTTCTTCTTGACCCCCTCCGATCCGAGCAGGGCTGCAAGCGCCCTGCTCGGATCCATCTTCAGCCCCGTAGCGGATGCTGAAGATGTAGATGTTGGGACTGGGGGGGTCACCCCTCTCTCCCTTGTAGGCAGGGGAGATAGGGTGTCCTCCTTGGCACCGGGGGGACAAGTCCCCTCGGAACCAAAGGGAGGAGCACCCTCTTCCGTGCTCGCGGTTGATGGTAAAGTCGGGGGGGGGCGGGAGTCCCACAAGGGAGATCCGCGCCCGCACTCGCCGACTCGTAGTCCATCGGCTCGGAGACCCCCGGCTGCGGAGAAGACCTCCCCGCAGCTGGTGGGGAATCTCCGCCCGATAGACTATTCCTCCTCTTGCGTTTCCCTGCCACCCCCGCTGCCAGCTCAGCTGAAGCTGCAAACGTGGTGGCTACGCCACCAGTCGCAGCAGCAGGAGGGTGGCAGTTGGGGCCTCCCAGCACATGCCGGGAGGGTCGCCTCAGATCGCCGCACAGTGGGCACTTTGGCTCCGGAGCCTTACACTGCCGGAGCAGGTGCCCACTAAGGCCGCAGTGGTAGCAACGGCCGCTGCGGTCCGCCTCGCTTGAGAGTCAGTAGTGCCCCGTGTGCCCCGGTCGTAAACACCGGAAGCACCGCAAGGGGCGAGCCTTAAGCGCTTTAACGCGCGCAAGCACCCACCCCACCTTTACAGTGCGGGCTGTTGCCAATTTCTTGGCAACAGCCACGGGGCACTGCACCCAGATCCCTCGTAGGCCAGAAGGCAGAGTCCGGGCTTTGCCCAAGCGGATCTCCGCCTCTCGGCAACCTCCGGCCAAAGCCAGAGCTGATTTCAATTCCTCCGGAGATACGGAGTCGTCGAAGCCCGATACGCGCAAGTCACCCTTGCGCGCCGGGCGGCGAACGACGACTCCCGTATCCCGGAAGACTTCTTTCATTCTGGCCGAGAGAGCATCGGCTTTCTCGGCCATAGAGTCACCGGTGACCTCAATCATGAGGTCACCGGTCATAGTTCGCCGAGGTTGCACGTGGGCGATACCTACTGAAGACAGTGGAATCGCCTCACGGCATCGGCGCACCGCCTCCGCAACACTCAAGGCTCCGGGGTGTGCCGTATCAATCGACAGCGTAATCGCTGCCGATTTAGGTACCCGGAGCCTGATCCTCTTCTGTTTTCCGCCTCCAGCGGGTTGTGCTATCGCGCTTGCCTCTGGGGCGGGTGCTCCTCCCTTGAGTAAACGACCGGGGGCGGCAGAAGCCGCTGATCTGGCCGCCCGTCGAGCCTTACGGCCCACCACTACACTCTAGAGATTATTATAACTAATCTATNAGAAATTTAACTGAAACCAAATTAGAGGTAATTTATTGTTAATAAATTAATTGAATTATTTATTCCTGTTAAT